AAAAGTAAATCAGAGCTAAAAAAGTGTAAAAACGCAGGCAAATTTGCCTGTATTCTACTACAATCTAAGGGATATGTATTTGTTATTTTTCTTATTCGTTATATCACAACTCAAGACTTTTTAAGAATAGAAATGGTAAATAATACTGATCCTTTGTCAATTTTTTAAAGAGAATAGCCAAATTTCTCACTTTTGTTAAAAATTATAAAAAAAAAGAAACAGTTCAAGGAAGATATAGTTCTGTGAGATTTCAAATTTAAAGAGTGTTTTTTCAATCTGTTTTTTTATTCTTTAGTTTTTTTTCTTTCAAATATAGATTTTATTGCTATAGTGTTTTCAAAATATTCTTTTAGTTTGAATGCTAATATATAAGTAGAGTCTACCAAAAGACAAGCTTAACCTTTTTGAAAGCCAACTATAACCATCTGTGCCTCAGTATATCATATTTGTAGTTTTCGTCAACAATACTCTGTTACTAGAGATAGAAGTTTACTAGAACTTTAGGCTTCAACTTTTTGTTTTGTATTTGATAAAAATTTGGTTCAAGTGATTATCAGAAAAAGTTTTAATAAATTACTTATATTTACTACTACTAATTTTTTTTTTCTTTTTTTTTACTTTGACTATCTTGCTAGGATTCTTTTATTATGATATTAATCACCAGATAAAGTAAAAGATAACTGCTAATATTTGGATCTGATATTCTACAATTACTTCATCATGTTAACTATATGAGAGCACTTACAAGTGACTAGCCACATTAAGCAGACATATTTATATAAATATATTATAATAAGTTTTAAACAAAAAACTCTATCTATTTCAGAAGATACTATCAGGCTTTAAAAAATTATATATTATAAGATAAAAAAGCTCTGTATCTAACTCTATTTTAATAATATATATATCTATAGCAAAAACCTATTTAAAAAGAGAAAAGATAGCTCTAAACTAAACTAGTAAACTAGACAGAGTAGCCAAAATCGTATCATCATATCAGTAGTCTTAGAGTATTGTTTAATGAATCAATAGTATTTAAGTCATATCACCTTTATGTATTGTTTCTGATTCACTCTTATATATATTCAAACTATCTTTTACATATATATAGTATATTAATCAGACTAATCAGACTACACAACTTATCAGGTCCTCATATTTATACAAATAAATACTCATACAGTAACTTTCTGTTTTAGATAATTAACAATACCAGCTGTTTTGAAAAATTACATGTCAATCTTTTGGAGAAGATAAACTAAGATGCCCACTTTTTGATAAAATTTACTCAAAAAAAGTGATGAGCCAACAAGACTTTTCTGTGGTTGTTCTTTGTAAGTTTTAAAGTTGTATAAAGATAATCTAAAGTTTGGAATACTCATGATGTTGATCTAGTTATTCTGTGTTTCCAAAATATCTTTTTGATTTGAATGCTAAATATAATAGAGGAGTTTACTAGAAGAAGAGCTTAATCAAAAACTAGTTCAAAGTAGTCTATGCTTTGGTTTTACACTCTTGGTACTTCATCAACAATATATCTACTTTCATAAAACCAAGTTTATTATTTACTTCAGCATCTTCTATAGTGTTTTTCCATAGTTCAGTTTTTTGGTTGTTGTTGTCAAGAGATCATCTGAAAGTAGGGTTTAGAGCACAGGAACATAGGATATACCCCTAAGAGCATGCTTCTAGGGCATGCCTATAGGCATGCCTTAAGTCCAAAGAACATACCCTTATCATGTAATGTTCAAAGCTATTTTAATTGGCTAATAAGTTTAGGTAAACTAGAACTATAGATACTAAATCAATATGTGAGATTTTTAAGAAGTTGTGAACTATATGTTAATCACATGATTTAAAAAAGACATGCCTAATTTTTTTTTTGTACTCTGAACCCTATCAGGAAAAGTTGTATTTTTTTGATGTTTACTACTACCAACTACAATTCTATCTTATCTATTATACATTATACTAATTTATTTATACAAAAATTATAACTTCAATATCTAATTTTTATTATATTTATATTAGTTATATAACTACTACAACTTGTTTACAATATATTACTATTTAACTCTTTTATAACAACTTTAGAAAAAGGTCATTTATTAGCTATTTTTTATTAAGAGGTTACCTTCTTCTACCTGATTTTAAATAAAAATTTTATTGACTAAAACTATATACCTAATAATTTTTTTATCCTCCTAAAAAATCAGCTGATTTTTGATGTCCCTCTTATCTTAAATACTTATCTATTTATATTAATATATCTTTATACAACTAGTCTTTCTATATATTTATACTATCTAATACTCTATCTATTAGCTATCCTTTATAGTTTTAGCAATATATTTATACAATCTAAATTAGATATCTAGATCTGTATAAATATAATACAATCTAGATAAGTTTTTAACCACTTTAGTAGATTTATATTACAGATAAATTAGTCTAAGCTTTTATTCTTGCAATATAATTTTATTTATATTTATACTAATACAAATTGTAGTAACTATTTAGATAGTTATATATTATCTCCAAATAAAATTATTAATAAAGATACGAGCAAGACCTCACCTTAATACCAAAAAAAAATTTTCATATTCATTTCTTAAAGAAATATGTTGATTAATGCCCCCTCTTAAAAAATATATTCCCTACAATGCGGACTATAGTACTCCGGATGCGATAAATTCCACAGCTAAAATCTAAGTTAGTACATAAGAGGTGTATCTTACATATAAATGATATATGCTAAATAGTTAATACCCGGGTATCTTGTATTCAACTGCGAAAATTTTTTATAGAGTACTTTGATGTGGGAGATACCATGGTCCGCGCCGTACGGTATATTTTTTATATTAAACACAGAATCAATTGGAGTGGCCTAAACACATTTTGAAAAGTCACCACGATTCAAACATTAATTATCAAGGACTTAGTCTATTTGAATAAAAATAATCATACACATTTTAATTATCGATTAGAATCTATTTTTCTCTGTAATTTGATATTATTATAAAGAATCGAATAAATTGTAACAAATTTCAACATTCAAAATATATATGCGTGTAAAGAAGTATGGGTTGCATGAAGATCTATGTTTTAGCAGCAGCACAAATATTATCATCCCGGTTTTTTAGCATTATAGTCTGACGGCTTTTCACAAAGCAAATTTTCTGTAGCAGATGTAGAAAATGATTGAGTGTGGTCGACACTGTCATTTGTATTGTCTTTATTCTTAAATCTTAACCATGTTTGCTCTCGTTTGGTTTTTTCTTCGGATTTGAAAGAAAAATACTATTCCCAAATTAAATTCCATTAAAAAAAAAAAGGCATTAATTAAAAAAAGTATACAACTAAATAAAATAAAATAAAATAAAAGACAAACCTTTTCACGAAATAAGTAGTGCCCAGGCTTTTTATTAGTGTCACTATCATACGTTTTTCCGAAATCTTTTTCATCTCTATCACTTTTTCCTTCTTTTTTTTTTTGGAATAATAGTGACATATTATCTAAACTTTTCGCATTCTTCACATTTGCATGTTCACCTTCAACATTTTCTTTAAATTTTTCCATTGTAACTAATCGTCTGCTCCATTGCCCAAAATTTTGTTCACTATTAGAAATCAGAATCATGCACGGGTGAGCGGGTATATCTGTACTTGAATACCTATTTTTAACAAAAAAAAATTTTTTAAGCTTTTAAGATATTCAGATCAGTTGAAATATTAAATTTGACAATAAATATAATTAGAGAAATAACATACTCGTCAACGATAGTTGGTAACCAATATACTAAACGACCACCAACTACTAAATATCGTGCGGCGAACTCCAAGAGATCTATAAGAACTTCGGACATTTCGTATGGTTTTGTTGGAGGATAATAATTTTCACGTCTTTTTTTTTTTTTTTAATAAAAAAAAAAGAGGATATAATAATGATTAAATTAAAGTTGCAAGTGAAAACTAATTAATATTCGTAATGTACTTGTGAGCTGGTACACCATTTACTATTCTCGACCGTTTTGTTGGATCTTTTCTACCAAGTGTTTTTGCACCTGCTCTAACACCATACGGTGCTAGTTTCAATAAAAATTTTAAATTGAGTATCTGAATCACAAAGATATGAATAAATTATAATTAAATCATCACTCACGATCGGTTACAATTGCATCAAACCAGAGATTTTCTCGCCACGGATGATGACGTATATCAAAGACTAAGGTATCCAAGACTTTGTCACTTAGATTATACTGGTCTACGTTAGACTTTATAGATTTATTCGCTACAAAATTTATAAATAATAGATAATGATGGACCATTAATAAGAAAGATAAAAGGGTATTAATCAAGATCACTTAAAATTAATATAACAAAATTTTATAAAACCTTGTCCGCGAATTTGTCGTCCGTCAATGTCTGACCCCAAAGTGAACGCGCCAAAGTGCGCACATGTTAAAAGAAAACTGCCTGTACCTACGAACGGATCATATATCAATTTTCCCGGAGAAGCCTATGCAGTGTAAAATAAATAAACAAAATAAGTGTTATTTATTTTGAAATTATTTTGAAAGAATAAAATTTTAATAAACAAAAAGAAACAAACCAATGCTTGATTAGCCATTATCAATGATAACTCAGCATCCATTGATGTATTTCCAATATATTTTCTCTTCTTCAAATTGTATTTCTGAACTAGATCCCTATTCCCAGAAGCGACCTGTTATGCGTTAATAAATAAATATCATATGCATAAACAGACCATTTTTTTAATGTGAACAAATATTTGATACTACTTACTAATCGCCCAAAATATATAGTAGAAGGTGTTTGCGGTGGAATTGGAGCATGAGAATCTAGTCCATAATCTTCCAATACACCAAATTGTACTTGCGGATTTGTTAAGTCGATATCTCCTTTAAATCCGAGATAAGAAAAAGAATTGATTACACGAACTTGATAATCTGATGAACATGTGGATCCGAAGCCTGATACCGTAAATTTGAATGATTTGTGGATATACAGAGACTAATATGAATAAAAACATTATTATTGGGAGAATGGTAATGTAACAATCATTGTATAAAGATCATCATAGGATAAAGGTCATAGTATAAAAATCATAGTATAAATAATTTCATACCCATCGTTCAGGACTAGCTTTTACTTGTGCATGCACTTCATCATAGGCTTCCCCCATTCCCCATAATTCATAAATATTTCTATATCAAAATATATATTAATAATAAATACAACTTTCAAGTTATGATCTCATTACTTACTTTATCAAAATAGCCCGTTTAACAAGTCTTTCCGCTTCTTCTTCGGTTTCAATGTTAACAACCAAAAATGGACACTTGATCCGTATTATCAGGAAAGTGAAATGTGTACGTAAAATAAAAAAATAAAAAGGGAATTGCTTTCAAGAATTGGAATATTTATCAAAACCTACATCTTTCTTATATTCTTTTTTATTATATATCAACTTTACATCTTCAATTTTTGCTAAAGACTCAAGTTCTGGTAGTCTAAATTCTTCATGAACTTATACAGCAATCCAATATTTGATTAAACGATTATAAATTATTAGTATTAATAAATGCTCCTTACAACTGAATCTATCTTAATTAAATTATTTGGTACGAACATTGAGCAAATTGAATAAAATATTTCATCTCTTGGTAAATCGAGAAAAATTGCGATTATCCTTTTAGGGAAAATGTTTTTCGTGCATCCGCATGATTGTGCATCCCAATATAAACAATGATCGGATCGGCTCTAATAATCAATGTACGTACGTTCCAGTTACGTATAAAGAATCCAGATTATATGTGTGAGATATGAAAAGCTTCAGTAGCAATATTTAAAGATAAGAATGTTCTAAGGACTATGAAAAATGATTTCTAACCAAGTCTAGAGTAAGATTAGTTAAAGTTAATAGATAGAAAGTTAAAAAAGTTTAAATACAAAATTTACAAATGAATTTTATAGTAACAAAGTTACAGTATAATTATAATATAAAGATTTTATAAAAAGGTTTAATATATTAGGCCTTAATAAATTGGTTCTCATAACCCGGCCGGGTCAAATTTCGCAAAATTCTTAAAAAAATTTTTGACTATATTTACT